GCAGAATTCATAGTGACTGTTCGGGGGACAGGACGGAGCTGTAATTAGAACAAAGAGTTAGCTCACATAGTGCATTAGCAATGTGTGCAATGAACTATCACAGAACATGCAATTTCATTCAAATTTCTACTTTTCTATTTCTTTGGTTTGGTTAATTAATAAAAGGCAACATGTGTAATCCAGTTCCAGGTCTGGTTATCTGGTTGCACCAAAACAAAAACAAAAAAAAAACAGGCAATGGGATACAGTAAATCTCTTTCCTAAGGCTAGGCTTCCAATTTGGACCAAGGTCAAGGTGTAAGGAGTGGAGGGCCCATGGACCTGGAATTGTTCTGTGGAGCTTTTCATCACTAGCTTTTTGCTTTGAGTCCAGGTCAGAAGTGCCTAAAACTCATTACCAGATGACTGTTTATGGGAGATGAGTTGGTGGGTTCCCAGACCAGTTCCTAGTGGACAGACATCTCAATTAGTGAGTCACCACCATGTCCCAACTCTAATTATGTCCCAGTGTCAGCAGATTAGCCAAGGACAAGATGGGCTATGAAGGGCACCACTACATCTTTAGCAAAGCTTTTGATACCATCTCCCACAGAATTCTTGCCAGGAAGTTAAAAAGAGTATGGATTGGATGAATGGACTATAAGGTGGATAGAAAGCTGGCTAGATTTTCGGGCTCGACAGGTAGTGATCAAAGGCTTGATGTCTAGTTGGCAGCCGGTATCAAGCAGAGTGCCCCAGGGGTCGGACCTGGGGCCAGTTTTGTTCAACATCTTTATTAATGATCTGGATGATGGGATAGATTGCACCTTCAGCAAGTTCTCAGATGACACTAAACTGGGGGGAGAGGTAGATATGCTGGAGGGTAGGGATAGGGTCCAGAGTGACCTAGATGAATTGGAGGATTGGGCCAAAAGAAATCTGATGAGGTTCAACGAGGACAAGTGCAGAGTCCTGCACTTAGGATGGAAGAATTCCATGCACCGCTACAGGCTGGGGACCGACTGGCTAAGCAGCAGTTCTGCAGAAAAGGACCTGGGAATTACAGTGGATGAGAAGCTGGATATGAGTCAGCCGTGTGCCCTTGTTGCCAAGAAGGTTACCGGCATATTGGGCTGCATTAGTAGGAGTATTGCCAGCAGATCGAGGGAAGTGATTATTCCCCTCTATTCGGCACTGGTGAAACCACATTGGAGTATTGCATCCAGTTTTGGTCCCCCCAAAACAGAAAAGATGTGGACAAATTGGAGAGAGTCCAGCAGAACGAAAATTATTAGGGAGCTGGGGCACATGACTTATAAGGATAGGCTGAGGGAACTGGGCTTGTTTAGTCTGCAGAAGAGAAGAGAGGTGGGATTTGACAGCAGCCTTCAACTATCTGAAGTGGGGTTCCAAATAGGATGGAGTTCGTCTGTTCTCAGTGGTGGCAAATGACAGAACAAGAAGCTATGGTCTCAAGTTGCAGTGGGGAAGGTCTAGGTTGGATATTAGGAAAAACTATTTCACTAGGAGGGTGGTGAACCACTGGAATGGGTTACCTAGCAAGGTGGTGGAATCTCCATCCTTAGAGGTTTTTAAGGCCCAGCTTGACAAAACTCTGGCTGGGATAATTTAGTTGGGGTTGGTCCTGCTTTGAGAAGGGTTTTGAACTAGATGACCTCCTGAGGTTTTCTCCAACCCTAATCTTTTATGATTCTATCTCCAGACAGTGCCCCTCTGGCCTGAGGTGCAGCACATTGATAGAGCACCGTGAGGGGGCAGCTTCTACAGCCACTGCCTGTACTGTACCCATACTTTGGGCTCCTTTGTTAATTAAGAAATGTTCTACATCACTTGACGAGCTCAGCATTTAAACCAACATCTACTAGCCAACTTGGAATAATGATCCCCATGGGGCAGGCAGCGGTGAACACTGGGGACTCACAGCAGAATTTCGTAGTCCTCCAGGAATGCACCATAGCTCCAGCTTCCTGACATGCGTCAGCATAGCCAGCAATGGCCTGGCAGACGTTACTCTCCCGCCCACTGAGGACGCAATAGCCGTACACGCAGTCTACGAAGTATCCATGAGGGTCCACTTTGCTGTGACATCCTCTGAAGGGGCCACTCTTGTGGAGGATGAACCCACACTGCCCTCTGCTACCTCGTTGTAGTTTTTCAATAGCCTCTACACTTGCGCATGGTGGTATCGTTACTGCAGAGCATCCCGGGAGGTCGCCCACCTTCCAGCTCTGGCCAAAGCTGACGGGGCTTGGTGCCAGTGTGCCATCCCTCATCAGCATGTCATCCTCCCTGTCACTGTTGAAGTTGCCACACAGACCACACACGGCTCCCGCGTAGGTCCCTGGCAGAGTGACCGTGATGCGTCCTGACCACCCGGCAAAGGTAACAGTGAGGCCAAAGTCTGCCTGGATCACTGTGGCCCAGCCATTTCTATACACAGAGATTTTCTTATCAACGAAGGGAAGATTCATCAGGAAATTATTCACCTGTTAAAGCAAGACACATGGGATATGAAACATCACTC